AACACAGACAGCGGTCTGGTTGGAGTTTCACAAAAACTAAAGAGCTGCTGTATGTGGATGTATTGAACCATTAGTGATGAACAAGTGAAATATGTAGTTTGTACAGAAGAATATTCAGATGGTCACAAGTGTGCCAGAATGTGAGCTCGCCTGAACTGTCTGCATGTTCCTGAGAGCATCTGCTATAGATGGTTATTATTAAAAAAAGATCAAATGTGGATGGGACAAGTGATATTTTTGTACAGCACAAACCAGCTATAACTCCTTCAATAAACTGTGTGTAAATCCTGAGGGTAAATGTCAAGGTAAAATCTAGACCGGCAGTTTCTCAGGCCTTTCTTTAAGTAGCCCGACTAAGTAAACGATGTAAAAAGCCACGTTAATCTGTGTAACCTCACCATGGACAGAAACCATACATCAGTCAGCCTCTACCAGCAGCAAACACATAGATTTTCTGATCCTGCTTTATATTTCAACCTACTACTAAAATCTAAAAATTGCAACAAAATAATCAATAATAGTCTTTTAGCCCTCTTCATATTTGGTGGAGCAGAATTTAAAAACATCTGCTGTTGTCATCCACAGGCACACTGCTAGTGATGCTTCATTCTGACCTCCTCCCGTGAAGAAACACAGTCAAGCTGGCCACCAGTGCAGCAGACTCTAATTAAAAGCTACGGGGGGCGGAATGGGGCTAATGTAAACATTTAACAGGAAAAGGGCTCCAAACCTGAACAATCACAATTATGAGTGCAGCTGCAAACACAACGCTGAATGCAAGTTAACAGCATTTGTCAGCTATTAAAATGGTCACCTATTAGCACTTTGACAGCTAACTGAGATTCTAATTAGCTGCACAAATAAACAACAAACAAGGGCATGCATAGTAATGATAGGCTTATTTTGCTGCAATGCGAGGACTGGTTTCTAAATTCAAACTCAAAGAAATTACAAAAAAAAGAAGAAGAGGTGACATCTGGTTATTAACCATAGTTTGCTTCCGTATAAAGGACCTTGTTTAATGTCAAGTCAGTGAAGCTGACTCTCTAAAAACAAAAACATCAGTCATAAATATAACATTGTGAGCTGAAACTGACTTCCTTTGAGATATTTTAGCCTGATAACACGTCAAAATTGAAATTTCCGTGATATAATCATCTGATATATCTGAGCCACAGAGATGCACAGACGGTACAGTAAGGATTGTATGCTGTCCTTTAGTCACACTTGGCTGGTTGCTTTCCTGCCAGGTGACTGATGCCGATTCCTCAGGCCATTACATCTGTTCACACAGTGCCAGCACTCACTGAGATCCAGAACAAACCATACACCAACCTGCATCAGCAGAGACATGCCCTACGTACACATTTGTATTAGTTTTGCTAGTTTTTCTAGTTTAAAAAAAAATTATTAAAAACTAAACTTCTATTTAAAAAAAATAATTCAGTTAAAAAATTAAGTATATATATATATCTCAGTGTGCCTGCTGGTCTGCTGGTGTTTTTAGCAAACATCCTGTTTATGCCTCTCAGCCCACTCCTCCCCCACATTATGTTCAGTTGGTGGGTGGTAAGTAGATTTCTAAGAGTTTAGGACAGCATAAAGTAGAGTAGAGTGGATTTTTTAGAAGCAAGACTTTTTTCAGAATTGTAACTTCACCTCCTACTTTGTCCTGAGTCACAGAAAATGACTAGACTTGACTAGATAAATAGATAGATAGATAGATAGATAGATAGATAGATAGATAGATAGATAGATAGATAGTAGACTAGTGCATACTGTACTAATCCCCAAAAGCAAAGTCATTTTTACAAACACCATAAGTTGTACGCAATAAAACCAATCATAGATGGTTTTACATTTAATATACCTAATATCACCAACAGCCTACAGCCATTTAGAATCGCCTTCGCGGTTTGGCCCACCCCCTCTTCCGTACGGTGTGACGTACACGGATGTACGTATGAGGAACCCGAGTTGTAAACAAAAACGGACAATCACTACTTTCCTTTCTGAGCCAAAACAGAAAACCAAACGTCGATATATCTTCTCCAAGGTTAGTTTCACTGTCTTAGCTGTGTGAGCTAGTGCGCGGTGAGGCTGTTAGCGGCAGATAGCGGCTGTTATGTAACATCCAGGCGTTAGACACTGTGAGCTAGCGGCTAGCTGCTAACTTCATGTTAGCTAACAGCTAGCCTGACACCGATAACACTCGTTTGAATTAGAAAGCTAATAAGTGACGTTTCTCAGTACTGGTACTAGTTAGAAGGGTTAACCGGTGTAAGACGACCCCCTTAAGAACAGTGTCTGTTTTATTTTAAAATATATTCATATGTAGAATTTACATATCATATGTACACAACACACATATCAGTGAACACATGTAGAGGGACCTGACATCATTATTAAGTTTGTTATAAAACTAGTGTCATCCTACCTTGGTCAATGTAAACGTGTTAATTCATGATCTAAAGTCTTGTTTTGTTTTTAAATATTATTATTTTTTGCTTGGAAAGGGCAAAACAGAACAGTTGGACATTAGCCGTTATTCAGTGTCCTGTCCCAGTCTGTGTGTGTCTGTGTGTGTGTGTGTGTGTGTGTGTGTGTGTGTGTGTGTGTGTGTGTGTGTGTGTGTGTGTGTGTGAGAGAGAGAGAGCACCTATGAGTCCTCGGTGTGATCCTCCACCGGATGCTGGTGTTGTTTTGTGTCTATACTTGATATACTTGGGCTGCAAAGTCCCCCAGAACCCGTCCCAGAGGGTTAATGTTTGGCCTCATTCAACCGTCTTGACCAGAACTGACCGCTATCCTGCTTATATTGCTTGTTCACGTTTCTTCATCAACGTATTAATTAAGGTGTAGAGATAATGGATGGATGGATGGAGTGCATCTGTATCAAAAATAGAAAATAATAATTTTTAAAAATCATAATATATTATATATATCATGATTTTTTTCTGAAAATTTATTTTGAAATGTGAACGTTCAGACTGCTTTGCTTTCAGACCTGGCTACAGTCAGCTAATGAGCCTTTTAGACTGATTTAAACTGACAGATAGATTGTTCTGCTGGTTCGCTGTGTTAGATGATGGTGCACAGAATTCATTAGAAATCTAGGTGACGGTAATGAGAATCAGTGACGGGGCTTGAAAAAATGAAATGAAATGAAAAATACTTTATTTATCCCAGAAGGGAAATTCAATAAAATTCTTACCCTGGTTTACCCTTCACATATCTACCTGTAGTCCTAGAAACTTTATAACAAAACTAATGGAATTGCTATTTAGCTTCAGTACAAATTAAAATCATAAAATAACACGACACAGTCAATAGTAATTAATTTCCCATTTTATATCTATAATAAGTAAGAGACAGATTTTTTTTCCCTTGTGCTTTGAATGCAGTGTTCGCTTTGTAAACTGAAATCTGGTATTTGCTTAATTTCTATTTTAAATGAGCCACGAGAGAATCAGACAGACTCTAGTGGGATGTTCGTCTCTCTCAAATCACAGCTTCCCGCAAGATTAAGATCTGTGGCATGTTCCGATGTTCTAAGGAAAGCACTGTTCTGTCTTTACCTGTCCTTGTCATTCTCTCACCGCTGCTTCTGTGTCTTCTTAAAAAGGGTGCAGATGTGGGGCAGTGTTTGATGAAGTGCCAGCTTCCTACCATAAGCAGACATATTCTGGTGTTGTGGGCCTGCAGAGACAATTGCAGCCAACATGTCTAGGAAACAGACGCCGAAACCTGTGCGAAGCAATAAAAAGAGTGAACTAGAGCGTAAGAGGGATGAGCGGGCGGCGCGCAGGGCCATCGTGAAAGACCGCAAGAACCGACCCCAGGATGCCGACGAAGGAGCCGAGTTTGTCAGCTTCTCCAACCAGCTCCAGGCCCTGGGGCTCAAGCTGAGGGAAGTCCCTGGAGATGGGTAAGAGCCACAAAGCTGAACTTCTTCCCTCCTTGCTGTTCTTTAGCACCGCTGATCCTGTAGCCCATTTCATGTAAACCTTTATATCTTATGTGCTGACGAGCCAAAACATTACGACCACTCCCACTTAATGTGCTGTTTCTGCTTCGCATGGTATCGAAGCAGCTCCAGCACAGATTCATTCTGCAGGACCTCCGTGGTATCTGGTGCTCAGACTTTAGCAGCAGATCCCTGAAGTCCTAAAATAAAATGTGATTTAGGGACCCTGTTGATCAGACACCCCCCAACACTGCTGTTTAATGGATCGGCCCTTCTTGGACCGCTGCTGTTGGGTCCTTAGTGCTGCTGCCTGGGAGCACATAGGAGGCCGTGCTCTGTCCCAGTCTGGTTGCTTCATCCTTCTCCATCTTCCATGGTGGAGGCTGGAGATTAGGGCTCCTTGTGAGACGGGCTTCATAGACAAAAAACAGTCCAGTGACTTTGGCCTGGCCACCCTTTATGTGCCTCTGGCTTTTTAATTTAAAGCCGTTACTGTGTTAATATTAAGAATATTATCTGGATATCTTGATAGATGGGCTAAAGTGAGTTATTCAAAATAAGGTGGTAAATTCACAATAAAACCTTTTTTCTTTTCTAACAAATATTTCATTAATAATCATTAGTGATTAATCAATAACAACTGAAATAACACATTTTACTGTAATTGACTTTTCAGTTGTATCGCTGAGCCCCACTCACACCTGCTGCTTCTCTCACATCCAACATGCTGACAACAACAACAGACTCAGTCCGAGCCCTGACATGTGCCGTTGTTATGAGATAATCAGTTTTATTTACGTCATCTGTGAGTGGTCATAATGTTCTGGCTCCTCTGTCTCACCATCTGTAACCAGGATGTACATGATGCTATCGGCCTGTATGTGTCTTTTGTCAGTGAGCAGCAATGCGCTGCAACTAAACTGCTTCTTTAACTGTGTAGCTGTATAGTTTGGATGTTGATGTCCATCAGTCATGTTTACTTGGGACAGGATGTCTAGAAAGCTTGTGTTTTGCAGGACTTCATTGTTATTGACCAAAAGCTCAGAAATGTACCACCTCTGACAAATTCACTGGTGGCGTGTAAGCCTTTCATTGAAGCATTCTCACAACTTTCCGATGAGGAACCTGCACTGTGAGCGAGAACAACCATTGACAGTCGTGTCACACCAGTCGCATCCTTGTCCCCTGCAGGAACTGCCTGTTCAGAGCTCTAGGAGACCAGTTAGAGGGTCACTCCCGGGGTCATCTGCGGCTCCGCCAGGAGACAGTCCAGTATATGACGTCTCATCGGCAAGACTTTGAACCCTTTGTCGAGGACGACGTGCCCTTTGCACAGCACTGTAAGGAAAAGACCCAGTGGGTGACATGAAGTGAGCAAAGTAAAAGGTTGTGATCAGATAGACACTCACGAGCACCTCGTTCACAAGCAACACTCCTATAGTGATACTGAATGTGGGCAGAGCACTGATTTCAATGGGATGCAGCTCTGGCCAGCAGCTATGCAGAGACCCCTGGTGGTCGTTCTTAATGGGACTGTAAGTCAGTTGTTCCCAACCCGGGGAGTCAGAGCAACAAGATAAGTGTGAGGCGCAGTGAGATACAATTGAAGAAAGAATCTCTTTTGTAAACAGTTTTGTGCTTTGTCTACCTATATATTCCCTTTCCTTGTGAAATTCTGCATAATTTTGTCTTTTCAGGCTGCTAAAGCTTTTGACAAAGTAAATGAAACAAGGAAAGACGTTTTCTTTGCTAGACGTTATGTGACTGTTGATGACACGTTGAAGCTGTTCTGATGTTTGATCACAGTTATAATTATCTCATCTATTGTTTTCAATTTAGAAATGTGAAAAATATATGGTTTTGGATGATGAAAGTGTAAAAGGAGGTATAATCTATGACTGTACCACAGCCAGTGGTGGTCAGTAATCCTGTTTGTTTGTTCTTATCCAGTGTCCAACCTTTCTCAGCCCGGTACGTTCGCTGGAAACGATGCTATTGTGGCTTTTGCTCGCAGTCAACAGGTGAAAGTGGTCATCCATCAGCTGAACACACCGCTGTGGGAGGTAGGGACCCAGGCAGAGGCTCGCAAATGACATTATAGGATCTAACATGTTTTACCATGTCGTGTCTCGTACCCTTGTGGTACACCACAGTTTGTTTATGTTGTGTTGTCGTTCCAGATAAATGGTGTCGAGAAGCAAGTGTGCAGAGAGCTACACATCGCCTATCGCTATGGTGACCATTACGACAGCGTGAGGCGGACCGGAGACAACTCTGAGAGTCCTGCTCACCTCCGCATAGAGGTATACAACATACAATAGGCGTCCAACAGAACAGTGTTTAGGAGACATTTAGTACATTTCAAGCCTGCTTGTTTTCCAGAGTGACTCATGTCCTGTTAAACTTTTTGGGGCTCAGGTTTTGTATTAATGCACCCACTGAGGTGCCGTTTAATGATGTGGTTCTGATGTTTCCTCGTCAATGCAGAATCTGCAGAGCTCACATGGCCAGCAGCGTGAGTTCGGGGACGGGCAGAGGGACAGACAGAAAAACCCTTCTTCTCCTACAGCGTCGGAGGAGGACAGCGTCATCCTGAGCTCCATCAAGAATCGAGGAATCCAGGGTCAGAGGTTCCACTTGACTCATTAGCTGCTTGGAAAATTAAACTGCCTGGACTCTGCGTAATTAAAGACTTCACAACCCTTCAAGCTCGTCTGTTCAGCTGAATGTTCTATGAATCATGTGAACACATCAGCCTGTGACTACGCAGCCTGTCGGCGTGACATGAACTGATCCTGTTCGTGTGTTTGTTGTGTTTCCTGCCTCAGGTGATGAAGAGAATCTGCTCCAGCTGAGTGCGGCAACGATTAACGCTGAATGGCTGGTTGGTTCTGTGCTGGGCCAGTCCTGCCAGGGCCAGTGCGCCTCAGGATCCTGCTCAGCCTGCCGAGCTGCTGCGGCAGACTGCAGTGAGCACAAGCAGCCAGCAGAGGGCAGCAACGTTCAAAAACCGAAGGTATACTCAAAGGAGAGATTCTCCAAAGCCCCTTCCAGACACACATCCTGTTCCATTCATCTGACAGCAGTTTAGTGTGTCAGCGTCTAGTCTGAATGTGCACCCTGGTCAAGTGTCTGTAAAGGCCGCAGTCTTAGTAGGACCTGGACTTAGTCATATATCTGTCTGAGCTGAAGTAGAAAGAAAACAGCGCCACTAACTTCATTAAAATTATTTAATTAGAAATGATCCTCAAGAGAGCACAGAGATCACAGGTGTGGGATAAAAGTGTTGGTGTGAGTGGGGGAGAGCATCCGTCGAAAGAAGAAAAACAGGAATGTTCACACCTCAGTGAGAGTCACGGTGCCTTTGAAGTGGTTGTTTCCAAAGTGTTAGCGTCCCACTTGTGGCTTCGTGCCTCTGCAGGAGGTATGAGCGTCCAGGCTGTAGGAAAGTGCATGCAGCACCATTTCTCCAGTGGAGTACCGATGGTGAGGCTGATCACAACAGGCTCCTGCTGTAATTCTCCTGTGGTGGTTCTTCCTGAGAACGTTCTGTATCGTGTCCAAAGGTGGCGGTTTTATGATGGGAGTAGATCCAGAACCTAAACAACAACAGCACATGCTACCTGGTGTGCCCCCTCGCTTGGCATGCCAGAGAAAACCAACCTGTGTCCGCTACATCAGTTATGTGGACGCTTGGATCAGCTGCTTTTAGTTTAGATTTACTCTGTTTTTGCATTGTAGTGTGTTATACATCACTTGGCGTATTGTGTAATGCCACTTGATTGACTAATGTCACATACGTACCACAGCTTTCTCCGGTTATGCTTGCATGAAGCCAACACTAACAGAAAAGTGTTCCATGTCTGGAAAGAGCTTATTACATCGTTATTTCATATCCTGTCCAACAAAGTTAATCACTGTCAGTTTTCATCATTGAATTCACTTAATCATTGTGCAGCAGTTTAACTTTTTCGATGGATTTCAGTAACAGATGCTGAAGCACAAAACGTGCTTCAGTAACAGTATAATTACTGAAAAACAACATTTTCGTTTTGCCCAGGTATCGAACAAGCAGAGGAAAGAGCAGCAGCGGCAAGAGAAGAAGAAGCGCCAGGAGGAGAGGCATCGGCAGAAGTTTCTCCAGAGCAAAGGGAGCCAGGACCAGAACCAGAACCTGCCAGAGGCCGTCACTTTAGTACCGGCACTCAACACTCTCAGTATATAGACTGGAGCATGGCCATAAACACCTACTGCTATTGTAGCTACCAGTGGCTGTCCACAAACTTTTGCACATAGTCAGATTTGATTCAGTCACAGTGGATACCTTTTCCTAAAGAGAGCCCTATAGTTTCTTTGCAAACAGCATAACGGTGCCTGCAAACTTGTGTGAGTGAGATGCGTGAGAAGGCGGAGTGACAGAGCATGACTATCAGTGTTTTTGTTGAGTTTTGATTCACTTCAATCCCCGGCTGGTGCCGGCGTACGCAGAGGCTCGTCTGGTCCGCCTGCTGCGCCGCCTGGCCCTCTTTCTATGCTGGACATCTGGCTTACCGTGACAACCATGCAGATAATCTTGTGCGGCTGGGCTTTTGGATTCGGATTGAATTAACCTATATTCAGATTTATTCTGTTTGTGATCAAAGCGTGAGGTGAAGGAAGAGCGGCAGTGAAATGATTGTTACGCACACTGTGTAAGGAATGTGGCAATAAATAACGATAAACGATGGCGTCCGGTTTGTGTGTCACGGATTACAGATTGTCCACATGTTTATGGAGGTGCATTACTCAAAGTAAGTTTCTTATATTTTTATCATGTGACAGGATATTAGTAAATTTAATATTAGTGTTGTTTTTATTCATGACCTTTGGTGTTGGAAAACAGCAAAATACAACAAATTTAACATCAACAGACATAAGCAGTGAATACTGAGGGTTCCCATTGTATACAGAGTCCTAAATTGTTTCCTGAGAACTCCTGATTTTTACTTTACTAACAACAATCATGAATCCTACAAATTACAGAAACAACTGAATATGAAAAGATTGTTGCCTTCAGTTAAATTCTGAATATGATGTTACTACAACTGTTTGTCATTGAATTGGGTTACCTTACATCCATCCATCATCTCTACATCTTCAATCCTCACCAGGGTCATGGGGGGCTGGAGTCTATCCCAGCTGACTCAGGGTGAAGGTAGGTTCACCTGGACAGGTAACCAGTCTATCACAGGGCTACACTTAGAGACAGACAACCAAGCACACTCACATTCACACCTACAGACAATTTACAATCACCAGTTAACCTCAACATGTTTCTGGACTGTGGGAGGAAGCAGGAGAACCCGGAGAGAACCCACGCTGCACGGGGAGAACATGGAGACTCCACGTAGAAAAGGAATCATGATCATTTTTCTGCTATATTCCGTATCTCTGCATGCTTTACACTTGTGCAATAAGGCTGCCAGACAGTTATTATTTGGTCATTCTAATTTCTAGGACTTTGTCTAGTGTGGTCAAATTATAGTTTAATGTGTAAACCTGTCTGACTTCTCTGTCTGATGCTTATCTAATAACATGATGTTTAATAGTGTTTTTCAGCTCTGTCACTTCTCAGCACATTGAGAACTTGACGAATGGGATTTCAGATGACAAACCAGTACTGCAGGCGTTAATGAGAATAGCTGCTGACTCTGAGGCCGTCTGTTTATCATCGTGGAACTGGGGCGTTCGTTTGAATATACTGTACATTAATGAGGTACAAAAACACATCTGTTGCCTGAAGATGTAGTAAAACTAAGCTTTGGCAAAATAAGAACCGAACAGAAACGATGAATTAACGCCAGAAGCGGCAGATTTTGAGCTGAGCTTTACATTAAAAAAGCACTAAACACCAGCAGAACTACAGCAGGTGATAAAAACAAGAAATGGACACACTATGAAATATAAGAAAAGTTCATTTTATTAAAAGTATAACAAATGACAAATCAAGGTAGGGCTCACAAATATCTCTGTCCTCAACAGACTGGACAAATGACAGTATGTACACTTATTCTTACAGTCCTCTGGTGGAAGCTGTATTCATTACATCTTAAAGCAAGACTGTGAAACCTTTGCTGACGTAGGCATATCTGGAATAATGTTAAACGCTAACACTAGTGGCAGGAGCAGGAAGGAACCTTAAAAAGCGCACACAGGAGTTAGCGTTACTTTACCAAACAAGCTACCAGTCATCACACCTGATTTGACTTGATTGAGGTGTAATGATTGTGTTCTATCCTGGTGCAAACTCTTCACAGTCTTGCTTTAAACGTCTGTAAAAAGGTCCACTGAGATGTACTGTACTCCACTTCTCTACAGCAGGTATAAAGTCTGGTAAATGCGTGTTGTTCACTCGGGTTTATGGGCAACTCCGTCCGCATCGAATGCTATAATCAAATCTTTTCCTGACAGGTAACGTCCCCGTCTTGGACTGCGTCTTCATACAGTCAGCCTCTTGAAACCAGATGAAAACTGTCCGACGGGGGGATCATCAGTGCTCTGCCGCTCTAGAAGTCCTGTCGGATGTTCTCCTTGTTCTCGTCCCCCTGCTGCTGTCTGAGCTGAGTGACTTCGTTTTCCAGCTGGACGATGGCCCGCTCTATCTCGTAGTTCTTACTCACCAGAGACACCCAGCTGTTGAAGGACAAACACAGACGGTAAGACGGGGGGAATCTGACCCACACGTTCTCTTTGTATACCGATAGGAAGCAGCTTTAAAACCACGTACTTGGACTCCAGCTCTCGCAGTTTGGCTCCCGCTGCCAGCTGGTCGTTCTTACGCTGCCAGTTCAAATCTTGAATTTGCTTTCTGTGTGCAGAAATAAACATTAGTGGTAAATATGAAAAGAGATCTAACAGCACTGTTAAAACTCTGAGTGATCATTCACCTGAATTTGTGAAGCTCCTTCTGAGCCATCTCGATCATGAACGCCAAGTTACTGAAGAAAGAAACACGATGACGTCAGCGGTCTGAACACTCATTTTACAGCAAGTTGTGTTTTTTTTTTTTTTTATAAAAAGCTGCCGCCACATACTCGTTGTAGACCTTCCATGCGTTGGTTCCATATTGCGACATGAGCTCTAAGTTCTCGATGCGGACCGCCTGGTGCTCCAGCTGGGCCATGGAGTTGTTCACACACTCCTGCCAGGCGGTGATGTCGTTCTTCTGTCCTGACGAGGGCGCCGGCAGCTCGTATCTACACACGGGACAGAACAGACGACATGTTCAACATTTGGAACTACAGAGAAAAACAAAACAACACCCACCCTAAACAAAGCCATCAACCCCACCATCAGGTTCAACATGGACATAAATAACGTATGACAGGCACTGCTGGCCTTGTTGTCTCTGCCAGCAGCTGTTTAGCTCTGAGGTGCACAACTACAAAGAACATAGAGAGATTTAGATGGCTTAACAAACCTGAAAACCTCAATCAGACATAACGGGTATCATGACAGTGGCTATCAACTTTATTCAGTAGCCATTTGCTCACATACAAGAAGGCATTTGATGTGTAGGACTGACAGCATACTGCTTACTGCAGTTAGGAAGTCGGCAGCATCGGGCTCTACAGCCACAGCAAATACATTGGACCGACCAAGGCACAGATACTCCATTGTCTTCTTAGACAGACGGACGCCAACATTTCTAGTGCGACAGCTGCACCTTAGAGCTCTTAATTTAAACATGATATTCAAGAGCCGGTTTAATCACACACTTTGAACAGAACCTCCTCCAGAGCAGGTTACCGTCAGCATCAGTTACCATCCAGCAGGATAAAAGAGAGCCGCCTTCATGAAAACTCTGACTTAAAGGTCAACATACTTCGCTAACCCACTGTTCTCCCTTCATGGGACATTTCTCTGATTTCACTAACATCTGGCAAAGTGCACGAGTGGTTCAGGTGCGCTACCGTGTACAGAGACCACCTATGAAACGCTGCAAAAAACACCTGTCTGGTGTGAAGGAAAGATTACTTTCCTTATCTGGAGTTAATCTTTTAGAGATGATATTGAACCCTGAGTGACCTCTTTAGGTAAACGTAGTGCTTGTAGCAGATGTGTGCTCTGTAACTTCTATAGATTCTTAACCTCACGTAAACCTCGTTGTAGGAGGACAGCCTGAACCTCTGAAGGCCAGATGATACCAGGCACCAACTTATCTTTGTTTCCCTTTCTCCCATAAATCTGGATGTGACTCCCACTGAAGGAGGACATAAGACTAAAGGTGTGAGAGGGATCTTTAGAGTTGATCCTGGCTGCTGTTCTGTTGCTTCTCCTGATGCATCAGGAAACCTTATTTCAACCTCTGAGTCTCCGGTGTGTCCCTCTGTGACGGGCTCCTCATCCTACATCAACCTCTTTCCACAACATCTGGTCGGACGTCATTTTAAAACAAAAAGGTTCGTCCAGATGTGGCCTCAGCACATCTGGATTGTTTCATTTCAGATCCATTGCGGTTTTGTACAGAACTGAAATGCTGAAAAATGTGTCAAAGTTTTTATGGACCTGCATGTATTTGACATTTTCCTGTATGCTCGTTATTAACCGCACATTTATTTGGTTGCTTATAGAAATTTAACTTCAAGTAAATATCTGAATTTATTGCCAAGTCATGGTTCAGAGATCTCTGTATCTGTTATGATTATAGGACTTAATCTGATCTCTGACTTTGCCTCCATGTGAAGGTGGTGCCCCGTTTAAAGTCTCGTGTAGTTATGCTTTAAGGTTTTACCTCTTCATGCTCAGGAGATCCATGGGCTGCCGAGCTGCCAACCTCTCAAATTCATTCCTCATAATTTCCGTCTGAAGGGTGAAAAGAAAAAAAGACGTGCTATTATTTCTGTGTCGCTGGCTCGAACCACGAAGACGCAGTCAGAGGTCTGATGAGTTTAACACCTCAAAAGCAGAGAAGTCAGGAGTGGGCAGGTAGCTCAGGTAGTTCTTCGTAGGTCGGTACCTTCTGGTCTCCTCTTCAACAAGCGCTGCAGCCTAAAGGACAAAAACAGGATTGATGTTTTGCACGGGAAAAGCAACTGCATCTACTGGGAAATAACACTTTTCTCCTTTTTGTATTACAGCTTAAACACCTACTGGGGACTTATAAGTGGACCTTGCAGAGCAGATAATCAGGTTAAATCTGGTTATTTAAACACCAAAACGCATTGGCTGTTTACTAATTAACTAGATTTTGGCAGAGAAGCATCTGAAAGAACATCCTGACCCAACCTGGACAATAATCTTTTACGAGTGTGCTGACTGAAAACAGCAGCTGATTTCACTTGTGATGTTCCTGCTCGCTGGTTAAGGCACACTAAGCAGCTAATCGTATTTAAATGGAAAAAGACACCAACTCTTCAAGCACACGTCATTTCTCACAGCTGACCTGCGCTACAAAACATGGACCTGTGAGCTCTAAAATGTTGAAATATTCCATTCGGACGACCTGAAGGGAGCATGTTTAACTGTCAGATTATGAGTGCTTCACCAACATCTTTTATTTTATATGTCCTGTCTTGTTAAGGCGAATAGAGATGAAACCTTCAACATGACAGGTTGGTGACGGACGATGAGATGTGTCTTAAGCAACTGCAGAGACTTAAAATTAAATGTTTACTCTTGTGGAAGGCTACTACACTTCACATAGCTCAACACAAAACACGTTTATGTGTTTCTTCAAATCAGCAAATGGAGAAATCCGGGGAGGTCAGTAGTTGGCAGAGACCTTCTTCTTCTTCTAGCAAATAGTAGAAAACTTTCATGGAAACAACAGTCAGAAAGTAGTCAAGTAGCATTCTTGCCATCGTGAGACGTCTATTAAAGGAGTCAAGTCATTAACCTCTAAATGAGTAAATGTTCTTTGCAGGCAAATGAAGCAACGACAAGTGACTGTATTCCTACGGGAGTACAGCGGAGACAGCCTCACTGTTAGTGGGACCATGTCACAATACGTGCAGAGCTGCAGAATGAACATCATCAGGAGAAGTGAAGTCATTCTGATTCAGGTGTGATGAAGGGCAGCTGAGCCCTCACCAAGACATCTCAGTTCTTGTCTCAGTCACATGTTCAGCTGTAGCCACACCTTCACATGGACCAAAGCCATTTTCATCCATAATGAAACAGCCCAATGAGCCGCCTTCATGACACTGAAAACTCTGACTTCAGGCTCAACATACCTCCATAGTACAGCCCTCTGTTTGTTTACATCTGCTTGCTTTGCTCCTGCTCTTTACACTCACATATTGTATTACAGCTAAAGTCCCATAAACCTGTCATTTACATATTTTCCTTTTCTATTGTTATAAAAATGGGAAGAGTATAAATAAAATGACACCACATGCTGACCAGCAGTCACTTCAGAGCTGTCACACTGCTGATTGTCTAAAAACAACTTTGTCTGACAAACTCACCAACAATGGCTGTGCTGTGACTTAACTGTTTACATGTAGAGACATATTTCCAGGTTTTACACATGCATTCATGTCCGTGTCAGCGATCTTGACGTCAACAGTTTAGCTCTGCAGTGTCAATAGTCAATAGAGTCTTCTTCACTGGGAACACTAACGCAGCCCAGTTAGAACAGAGGACTGCGCTACGAAGTGAGATTAGTGGGTTATGGAGGTATGATGAGCTTAAAGACAGAGTTTCAGTGTCACAAAGGTGGCTCTTTTAACCTGCTACATCTCCATGGTAACTGATGCTGTGGAGCCAGGTCTCCACGGTAACTGATGCTGTGGAGCAAGGTCTCCATGGTAACTGATGCTGTGGAGCAAGGTCTCCACGGTAACTGATGCTGTGGAGCAAGGTCTCCATGGTGACTGATGCTGTGGAGCCAGGTCTCCATGGTAACTAATGCTGTGGAGCTAACCTGGTCAGGAACAGGTTATGTTCAGAGTTTCGGATTTAAATCATCTAGAAAGAGCGTCTCCCTTTAACCAGATCGTTTCCTGACTATTATTTATGAGCGATACAGATTCTCAGCTGAGGGAATGTGTTTTATCTGCAAACCTGCTGAGTTGTGCGTTACTAACATCACTGAACGAAGCCGTGTAGTTACAGCATCACACACTGAACATATTGTACTAATATGGGAACCAGACGTGTATTTAGCTGGTGATGCAGAAATCACATAAATATGTTTATATGTTTGTCTGTTTACTCTGCTGGTACTGCAGCTGATAGAAAACAAAAAAATGGATTATTCTACTGGTATTTATTACAGAGAATAAGAATACAGTAGAATAGAATAGCAATAACCCTTAAATAACCCAATAACCCTGTACAACACCTCGCCTGTCTGTAACATGCTTTGTTTTGGCGCTACTTTTCAATTTGCACATTTTGTACAGTTAGTTTATTTATTTCTATTTTTTAATAGAATTTAACTTGAGCCCTTATTTGTTGTGATTTGGCGTTTGTTTGTTTTTTTGTGTGTGTTTTTTTTCTTTTTTGCTGCTATGTCTAAATAATTTCCAGGTCTGGGATAAACAAAGTATTTCTATTCTTTTCTAAGTAAAGGCGCAAACGTGGTTCCTTTAGCTGTGCTCTCACAAAAGTTCCCCTAAAATGTAAACTGTGACGCTTCCTTGCCACACAATTCAGTAAACAAGTGAGAAAGCTGAATATAATACAGATAAGTGTGAATAAGCTGGAGCCGGAGGTTTGAGCTGCTCGGTGCTCCTGCGTGCCTCCTCCATGTAGCTGCCCGGCTAACACGCTGCAGCTGGCGGGCTGCCTCGCTCTACTCACCGCCTCTCTGACGCCCGCCGCATCGTAACCTTGGTCAAAGTACGGCAAGGCATCGACGAACACTTCCCCTGCTACCGAAGCTGTCCCGGCCATCTGAAATCAGTCTATATGTCGGTAAGCCGGTTGATTTATCTCTCTCTGCTAGTCCAGCTCCACGGCTAGCAGAGCCAAGTCCTTCCGGTGACTTCCGGAGCAGCCCGGCGGCTCTGCTCGTTTGCGGCCTCTAGCGGAGCGGAGTGGAACTGCTGCCGGTGCTCATTAGTGATGGAGTCAAGGATTCAAGGCCTTTATTGGTCACCAACACACTTATGCATGGTAAAAGGCGCAGTGAAATGATTTTTTCACCTGTTCCACACTAAAACAATGTTAAAAAGATGAATAAAGAATAAAGCACACAAGAAATAATATATATATATATATGCAGACCACCCTCCTCATGGCCAAGAAGTCCGGCTGGGTGCTGCTGCCCATCCAGGTGGTGATGCTCTCAGCCAAAACACTCTCAGTGGTGCAGGTGTAGACGTTCCTGAGCACCTTGAGAGGGAGCTTAAAGCCCCTCAGGTGTCAGAGGAGGTAGAGACGCTGTTCTTCACCAGGGTGTTGATGTGACAGGACCACATCAGGTCCTGCGTGATGTTAACACCCAGGTACTTGAAGCGCTCCACTCGCTCCACCGCTGTCCCGTTGATCCTGAGTGGGTGCTATGCCCTCTACTGCTTCTTGCTGGAGTCCACAATCAGCTCTTTGGTCTTGCTGACGTTCAGGAGGAGGCTGTTGTCTCTGCACCAGTCCTCTTTCAGCACCTGTTTTTTTTTACATGTTCCAGGCACTTTATAAACGCTTTATTACTGGTTTGCTTTGAACTCCACTTTGATTTATTTTTGAGATTAGTGTCAAAACCACCAGCCCAACAAGAATGTGACTAACTGAACTTACCACACTTTATAAATACTTTGGTACTGGTTTTGTGAGTATCACTACCTCAAACTAAAATGTTTCTAAATAAATGTTTTTCGCAGTTTACCTTTTCTTTTATTACCTCTGCCAAGGAGGTTATGTTTTAGCCGGCGTTTATCTGTTTGTTTGTTTGTTTGTTAGCAAGACAACTTGAAAGGTTATAAACGGATTTTCATTGAATTTTCAGGAAATGTTGATAATGGCCCAATGAACAGTTGATTGACTTTTGGTGATGTTCGAGCTTACTACCTGGTTATTTTCTCATAAAACAGTAAATGCTGTGAAGTGTCACAGCCGTGCAGAATGCTGTCGTTGCGCCGTTTGTCCACTAGATGGAGCTCTGACTCCATTCAGTCCTTCAGTCCTCACCGCTGTCTTCTCAGTAGTGCAGGAGGAAGCTACAGCCAGGCAGCATCACAGGAGTGGGCTGAGCGGAGCTACTGACAGAATACTGACAGCGTTTCTGTGTCTTTAATGGCTCCATCGCAGTTTTAATTGTTGAGCAACACAGACTCTCTGGTTTATGTACAGGATGATTTATGAGGAGGTTGCAGCCATTACAGAAGGAAAATAAGAGATTGTTTTTACGTTTACTTTTTTTGTGTGAAGCACATCAAATAGTATTTTGTGTTTTTTTTAGGTTTACAGATGACTTAATGACACTATTATTCAAAATATTAAATTATCAACCAACTTTACGTACAAAATGTTTTACGTGAAGTAATCAGAAATGAAATATTAAGACTCTAGAGTACAAAAACAAATCACATTAAATCCAAACCCAATTTAGAAAACCTAAAACCACAATCAGACTGTACTATGAAGTGAGATTAGTGGGTTATCGCGGTATGTTGAACCTAAAGCCAGAGTTAGGGTTAGGGTTAGGGTCACTAAGGTTTAGCGTCAGGGTTAGGGTTAGGGTTCAGATCTCCATGGTAACTGAGGCTGTGGAGCCAGGTCTCCATGGTAACTGATGCTGTGGAGTCAAATCTCCATGGTGACTTATGCTGTGGAGCCAGATCTCCATGGTGACTGATGCTGTGGAGCCAGACCACCATGGTGACTGATGCCGTGGAGCTAGGTCTCCATGGTGACTGATGTTGTGGAGGCAGGTCTCCATGGTAACCGATGCTGTGGCGCTAGGTCTCTATGGTGACTGATGCTGTGGAGCTAGATCACCATGGTGACTGATGCTGTGGAGCTAGATCTCCATGGTACCTGATGCTGTGGAGCTAACCTGGTCAGGAGCAGGGTATGTTCAGAGTTTAGGATTTAATTCGGGTGGAAAGAGCGTCTCCCTTTAATCAGATGGCTTCCTGACTGTTATTTATGAGCGATACAGATTCTCAGCTGAGGGAACGTGTTTTATCTGTAAAGATGCTGAGTTGTACGTTACTAATATCACTGAAGGAAGCCGTGTAGTTACAATATCACACACTATATGCATCGTGTTGACATGGGAACCAGACATGTATTTAGTTGGTGAGGCAGAACTCACATAAATATGTTTTTATGTTTGGCTCTGATTTGCTGTCTGCTGGTACTGCAGCTGATAGAACAGATTAGAACATGGATTATTCTACTGGTATTTATAACAGAGAATATTCAACCATCCATCCATCATCTATACACCGCTTAATCCTCACTAGGGTTGCGGGGGGGCTGGAGTCTATCCCAGCTGACTCAGGGTGAAGGCAGAGGACACCCTGGACAGATCGCCAATCTATCACACTTAGAGACAGACAACCAAGCACACTCACATTCACACCTACGGACAATTTAGAATCACCAATTAACCTCAGCATGTTTCTGAACTGTGTGGGAGGAAGCCGGAGAACCCGGAGAGAACCCACGCTGCACGGGGAGAACATGGAGACTCCACGCAGAAAGATTCCGGTGCCCCCACTGGGATGCGAACTGGCGACCTTCTAGCTGCAAGGCAACAATGCTAACCACCGAGCCACCCTGCAGCCCGAATATTCAACCCGAGTATTCAACCAATAACATTTATTTCACTTTGATTTGGCCAAAAAGTAAATTGATATTCTGCATTATGGGATCGTGTCAGACCTAAATGCGTTTCAATGCAAGATCATGTTTAAATATATGAAATTTAAAGTTTAACAGTTTTAACGTGCAGCTGTCAGTTGGAAGTAAGCGGCTGCATTGATCGGTAAAATAAATATATTTTGCACGTTTAACAGTTTTCCACCAGCATTCCTTTCTTCATCATTTACATTTAGATTCCTCACTGTTCTCCATTAAAACAACGTGTTGACTGAAGCAGCTGCACACGATCGTTTCATTCTGTGCAGAGGAAGAGTCTCGTGACGCTTCAAACGCCTCCTTTTATGTGAACAGGGTCTGAAGCAGAAAGTCTAAATTAACAACAGTGTGCGATGCTGTAACTGCACAGCAGTTAGAGTTAGTGGTTTTAGTAACAGACACAGATTTATGAGAAAACCA